TTGCTGCCTGGAGCTGCAGATTCCCCTCCAGCCCTTCCTCCTGCCTGGCCACAACCACAGCAGGTCACAGCTTTTCCTGTCCTGCTGCACCCTGAGACCGTGGAAACCCATGGCTGCCAAGCTTTGATGTAGAAAAAATGAAAAGTAACAAGGGGAAGGATGAAACTGCTGAAAGGCATCTGGTTTTGCTGCATGAAGGCGCAGGTCAGCCATGCTCTGCTTTTGCAGATATGGGGGCAGCAGCCCTTTTTCTGCCAACATTTTTGCAGCCCTCCATCCTGAGGGGTTGCATGACCCTTTGCAAGCTTTTATGTGTTCATTCTGTAAGAACATCTATTGCTGATAGACCCTGGATGCTGAGCAGCTCATGTGCAGACTATTATCTCCATTTCAACTGGAAGCTGAGCTCTGTTGCTCTGCTAACCAGCACAGCAGCTGAGTGAACACAACATAATGTCCGTGAGTTATTGCAGGCAATGCCCATTTCCTACCATATGGTGAGTGGCAGGGTCATCTGCTCTTCACTATTCTGGTCTACCTGGGAAATGTCTTTCAATGTCTATTTTTGTCTGGTATTTTCACTTTAAATCACATGTAGTGGCGACACATTGGTTATTTGACCATAATTCAGTGTATTAAACCAGCTGTTACCAGTTGCATTGCTTCCTGCATGGCCTTGAGTGCTGAAGTTAAACTTACCTGACCTGAATGCTTGTTCCTCCAACAACACAAGCTCCAGGTGTTTTGGCTGAGACTTTCTGGGCATTTTGCAGCCCTGGTTCATTGGAGAGCAGCTTTAGTGGTGTAATCCCACAAATGCCTGTGATGCAGCCAGACTTTGGCAGTGGTGGGATGAGTGCCCATGAGCAGCCCTGTGCTCCCACGGTCCTGATTGGAGCCATGGAGCTCCTCAGAGCATCCTCTTGCTGCAGTGGGAGGTCAGAGGCATCTCACCCTGACTCTGGCTCATTAGTTCCCCATGGTGTTACAGATCTGTTCCTTGCAGTAAATTTTCTGATGCTCTTGTCATTCTGTATAAAGGCCTTGAAGAAACTTCTCTTGTGAGTGATTTTGCATCACCTGTAAACACTCACCATTAGAAGCTTCTCAGACTGAGATTTTATTTACATTGCAAAGCAGGGAGAGCTGCAGTCCCCACCCCATAGAAAAATGTCAGTCTAATAATTTTAATTTTGAAGGTCCTATAAAATCCAGCTCCCATAGCCTCCTTCCAACTACTGCTGTTCTAAATATCCCTGACTGGAAATCTTGCCCCTGGTTTCAGAAGCAACTAGCAAGGCTCAGGCATCTTTAACTCACACAGTCCCCCACACTTGGAGATTTCTGCTGCATCCTCACGTTGTCACTATTGTCATACACACTGTGGCAGTGTCCTGCTTCTTCCATCAGTGCCTGAGGAGCAGGGGATGGAGCTAAGCAATGCAAGTGTGTGTCTGCATTTTCCTGCCCTGATGTGGGTGATATTGATTGGTCCATTAATGTAAATGTCTTGGCTGTTGTGTGTTGCTTTCCTTGCTTATTAATCAAAATCATGCAAAATGAGGGGAAAGCAATTTTTTTAGGAAAAAAAATGAAATGCCATCAACAGTGAGTGATTTCAGCCTGCTGGAATGTGATGGGGCTGTCTCCCACCCACCAGGCATGAGGCTCCCCACAATAACTGGGGAAAAATTTAAAATGCTGTATTTTGACAGTTTTGGACAATTTTAGATGTTTTCTGTTCAAGCAGTGTTTTGATGGAAGGTTTGCCTAAATCTATTTTTTTGGTTAAAAAAAAGCATTCCAGTGTTTTGTTTGCATCTGACATATTTCATTCAATTGCAAATGGTTTTTTTTTTTTGGATGTGCAGGTTTTTGTTTTGCTTGGAAAAACAAATGAAAGAAAACAACTTTAATTTTTTGGCACCTTGAAGTTATTTTTGCTACTGCCATTTAGGGAGACCTCTCTGTAGCCAGCAGTGGATGGAAAACAGTGAGACATAAACAAAACATTTGGGATGTGAATATTCCCACTGAAGCAATGCACAGGTTGGAAATGGAGCTGGTGCTTAAGTGCCTTGGTGAATTGAGGCTTTAGCAGTAACAAATAGTACTAAGGAGTAAAAATCATCAATTAAAGATCTCTTAATGAATCAAAGTATCAGCCACTCAGAGTAGAGAAGGGCAGAAGCTGAAAGGCAGATTGGAGAAGGTGTGAAATCTCCTGTTCAGTGTTTCTGACTGCATAGTAGTCACAGCTCTGCACTGCTTGAGTTTCTTGGTAAAACTGAATAGAAGGGAAATATATGAGACACTGCTGCTGATCCTGTTTGTTTCTGTTATACAAGCAGTGGGGAGAATCCAGATAGTTATTTCTTTCCCATACACAGAATTAAAAAAAACAAACAAACAAACAAACAAAACCAAACAAAAAAAAAAAAAAACCAAAAAACACAAAACCCCAAAAAAATCAAACCAAAAATGGATGACTGGGAAAAATTACTCTCTTTTAAATTGATTGTTGTTATTTCAAACCTCGGGAATATTAATTTGTGTTGTGATACAGTTGATGGATTCTGCTGTGCAGCCTGGCAGTGTGTGAGAACATAACGCCTGAAGTAAAGGTGACTAACTCCTGAGAACATCCCCACCGATGCCAAGTGGCCCATATGCTGTTATAAACACTTTTTATTCTTTTTTATTTTCCACACTGATCATAAGAGCCCATTTTGGGTAGAATCATTAGGCTCATTTATTACCTGCTGTGCTGGTCTGTGCATCTGCAGTGCAGCATCTCTGCTCTGAGCTTTGGACTCATCCCTGAGTGTTTTCTGATATTCCAAATCCTCTGTCATGGGTATACACAGATCTTCTCCTGTGTGTCCTGGAGCATTCTGCACCAGAGATAAAAATTATGCTTAAGGGTGACCAAACTTCTGGGGAATATGGTTGTTGATAGCTGATGTTAGGTTTTATATGTATCATCAAGAGAAATTCCTGCAAATTGATACTTGTAGCAAAACTATCATTCCTTGTAGCAGAAGAGAAGAGAACTGACTGGCAGATGAACTGGCTCTATTCTTATGAATAAATTTAAAATCTAATGAGAACAACAGGTGTGAGACAGTAGTAAAATTTTACAGTACCCCTGCAAACTTTAATCTATACTTTTATTTTTCTTGAAAGTCTGTCCAAAAGCGAAATTTCAGGCCTAGGGCTACTGAAGACTGTCTTTAAAGTTGCTTTGTGATTTTGAGCAATACATCATACCAGCAGTGATGTTCAGATGATACATTGCACTAATACATCACAGGAGCACTTTTGCTCTTATGATATATTAGTATAATACACTATCAGAACACTATCACTGATATATTACTCAAAAACACAGTTTCTGACCCTCAAGATTCACCCTCATCTCTAGTCTGAATAGACTGAAAGCTGTGGATAATGATAAGAATAAGAAATCACATATTCAGTTTCTCTAGGGTAAAGCTGAGGAAAAAAATAGTGTGGTATTTGGAATATTTCATTAACTGAAACATTCTTGTGTTTTCATTTTATTCACTGAGCAAATGTTATTATGGATAGAAGCTAACACAATATAGGTGTGTTTGAATTTTCTTACAAATAGCCTAAGAAAACCTTTTTGGATTTCATATTTCATATTTCATATTTCATTATAGACTTAAGCCATGTTTTGAGAATGTTTCCATGAGGTGCAGGAGTTTCAGCTGATTTCTACCTCATCAAATTGAATCAGTTGCAAGCTATCTAAATTCTTTGCAAACCATTTGGTGCTGTTTCTGATTTTCAGTTATTTTTTTAAAAGGATTTAGGCACCATCTAAAAAGATCTGAAGGTGCATAAATGTGATCTATCGCTCAGATTATTTGCTGCCTCTCCTCACTGAGGTGTTGGGGTATTTTTTCCTGAAGAATTATTCTCAGTTATTGTTTTTCTTTACTAAAGAGTGAAAGACAGAGGGAAAAAGAAAAAAGAATGCATTGCAATGTTGTTAGTAGCTCAACTTACTGCAGGAAAGTATTTTTCCCAGTGGAGTTTGGATCTTGAGGACCTTCCTTTATGTCATGAACAGTGTCAGAAAAAAAAAAAGGTAATAGTAATGACACAACACTAAGGGGCCAAGTCATGTATTTGTGTTCTTGCCCATCATTTTGTTTGTATTCCCCAGATCTCATCAGCACTTTTGATGAAAACACATCACCATTCACCTCCTTCCCAAACTGGGTAACCCAAAGCTGCCTTTCTGCAGCCTTTGTGCAGCTCAGTGCCCAGCTCTGCAACCCTGTGGGCAATGGTCCTGTGCCAGCAGAGGGAAACACTTCAAACTGGGCTCATAACCCTTGTGCCTCACAGGTTTTGGGCCACCTGGCTCTCTGTCCCTGCAGGTGTGTCCCCAGCATGAGCCCCACAGGTTTCAGTTTGTTGGTTTTGGGCTACATCCTCCAGGGAGGAAAGGAAGCATTAAAGCTTTTTTAACCTTGTGGGAGGCCAATGCTGCTAGCCCTGGTGCCCATGTGCTGTCCGTGGTGTGGCAGCTGCTCTGTCCCCAGAAGGGAGCCCTGAGCCCAGGCTGCCAACACGAGTTCTCCCCCACGTCCCATCTCCAGCACCTTCTTATTCCCCTCTCTTCCGAAGCCACAACACTCAGCTCCAAGGGACATTGTTATTTCAAAGCTGTGCCTAAATATTTCTCTGACTGACAACTATGAATAATTCCACAGAGCCCCTAAACTTCCAGGCATTTCACTCTGAAGCTCATATAATACACCAGGGCTGCTCTCTCATGTTTTTCATCTTTTATATTCTCCAAAGAGTTGAGATACAGTTATGGAACAGGTTAATGTATTTTCCTCTGAATATAATGCTGGGGGAGCCTGTGCACGGTTACTTTTGTGTGTTGAGAATAATGCTGACAGTTCAGAAAAGAAAGTCATGAACTTGATAATGGCCATTATTTTGTTTCACGTTTTCAGCATGTTCATGTCCATGTGCTGCCAAGGAGGGCTGGAGACTTCAGCAGGAACGATGATGTCTACGAGGAGGTAGGAGTTACACTCCATCTCTTCTTCAGAGTTGGTTTTGCTGTTAGTAAATTGTTTTAATGGTCCAGCCCCTCCCATGGGTGGAGGGGTGGGATCTCTGCGTTTTTGTTGTTGTAAATATCCTGTGACAGCGCCAAGATCTGTACTGGGATTTCCTTGTGAGCTCCCTCTCTGAGGGAGGATACAGTTGGCACCTTTGGTACTTTAGTCTGTCACTGCACACAGGGTGCATCTCTACAAATAATTGTGGTCTCTTATTTTGAGGGCACAGGGAAAAAGGGTGACCACATGGTCAGCCTGGCATGCAGGGAGGGTGTCCTGCACCAGCTGCTCGCCTGGGGTGCCACACCTCCCCCTTCCAACCAGAGAAAACACAGGCAGCTTGTTACAGCTCAATCACAAACTGCCTTCTGGCCTGATTTTGGTAGGGCTCTGCTCAGCTCTGGACAAATCACATTGCAGCCCCAAAGATGGGAACTAAAGAGCAACTCTGCATATGGATGGAATATCTGCATGTGTGCAGATTGTGCTGCAGAGCTCAGCTCATGAGCTGTTCCACTGTGACTGAATCACTGGCTTTTGTTTAAATGAACAATTGTACTGGCATTAACAAAAAGTTTTCCCCAGTTTGACAGCTGTCATAATGATTCTATGAAAGAATCTCACTATTGTTAAATTTATGGCTTGTTCTTCGTGGGTTTGGTAGGACCCTCTTTCTGATATATGACATCTCCTTCTCTTCCTGAAAGTAATTAATATAAACTTGTTCAGTGCTACTGTAATACCATCTGCTTGAAAGAGACATCGTGACATTTTCTGCTTTGGTATTTTTTCCTTTGTGAGATCTACATGATGACAAGTCCCCACTCAGAAAAAAAAATGGTGGAGTGTTTTAAACTTTTTCAATTACTTAAATATGCAAAAATGGAGAAGAAAGCATATTAGTGACAAGTTATATGAAGTGTAGTGCCTGAAAACTCTGCTAGTAAGGGTAAAAGCTTAATGAGGCTGCTGAGCAAGGAGATCCAATGGAAGTAAGTGATGGCAATCTTTGCTGGTGTGGTGGTTAAAAGCATTTGAGTGAGACAAAAGTTAGCAGGGTTAAAGGGTTGTCAGGCACTGGAAGAGGCTGTTCAGGGGAGTCACCATCCCTGGAGGTATTTAAAGGATGTGTGGATGGGGCTCTCAGGGACCTGGGTTACTGATGGGCTTGGCAGTGCTGCCTGGATGGTTGGATCCAGTGACCTTACAGGTGTTTTCCCCCTAAATGATTGTATGGTTCTGTGATCTTTTCCTTTTCACATGTGTTAAGGCGTTTCAGATGCTGCATCAACCCATCAAATCTCTTTCCATTTCTGTCATATTTACAATTCCATTTTCTTCTTTTTTAGCACAATGATTTCTCCCTTGTTATAGCTGAACAGAAACAGGCAAAACTCTGATGAACTAGACTATATATTTAGTGTTGTTAGATGCAAAAGGGTGGCAAATTGGAGAAGAGTTTCTTTTTTATTTTGTCATTTCCAATTACAGCAATTGTAGGTGTTGCTTTTAGCAAACAGGAACCATAAATATTTAGACATAGATGTGATAATGCATCTTTTAGCAGAAGAATGTATAGCCTCAGAGTCTAACTAGCTATTCTTGAACACCACAGAGCCAACACACTTTTGTACAGACTGTAGCTGAAGAAAGATTTAAATTTTTTAGGATGCCAGGGAAACAAAAACACATTTGCTGCTATAAAAAGTTTGGTGCTGAGTTCTATTACTGTCTGGATTGCGGATGGAGGGACTTAAGAAATTTGCTATCACAGGTGAATAAAGCTATTTTGAAAAATGAAAAAGGGACAAATTATTGAAAATACAGCTGACTTTGGAAATAATTTGGAGCTTATGTCAGTACAGCAAAAACATTTTGATATAATGCATCTCTGTGTGATGTCAGCAAGTCATATCCTTTTGACAAGAAGATACTTCAAAAGATTTAGGAAGATATGTAGATCATGGTGGGGCAACAGGCTGGAAATTGACAAGGGATAAAGTACCTTTAGGTGAGATGTGGGAGCTGGAGAGAGCTTTAAATCTATTTTTCATGAAATTTTTACTTTAAAAATCCAAAACCCGTTCATAAACACTTCATTTCCATGTATTTAAGTAATAGATGGAGTTGTAGTTTAGGCAGCAAAGACCACCTTCCAGAATCATCCCATTGGCCTTTTCCTTGTAAAATGTGACATGGGGGCTGATCAGCCTCCCTCAGAGGCTCTGTGCAATTGTGAAGCACACTGAGGATAAATTGTGCATATTGCAGTGCCTGGGTTAGCTACCACAGCTAAAGGTTTAACAGCAATTGGGAGCAATTTTCACAGGCTCCAGGTCTCAGCTCTGGTTCAACATGTCTTTTGCAAACCCCTTTCTCTCTGTAAGTGCCTTTGAGCTCTCCAAGCTCTGCAGTTGTCATCTGTATATGCTCAGCAGATTGCTGATAAATCCCACTGCTCTTAGTGTCTGACAGTGAAAGGATGCCCAGATGCTGAGACATCACTCCTCTTAGGAGCCTTCTAGAATTGAGACAGCCAGAAAGTGCTTGCAGTCTCTCACTGTGTGCTTAATTTCTCCCATTCAGTTTTGGAGTGACCACTCATTTGATGCAAAAGGCAGAAGAGAGCACATCAGGTTGTTCCTTGCTTAGTCTGTTTGCTGGGCTCTGAGATCTTCAGGCATTTGGCTCTGAAGCTCTGACACAGCCCTGTCTGAAGCAGTTTTTAAGTGTAAAAACTATAATTAAGGGTAAGGTGTTTCTTAGCACTCGTATTTTAATCAGGTATCTGATGGACACAACTGTCTGCTGATTTCTGGACATATTTTTAGATCTGTGGTAGTGGAAAATTAATTGTGGAAGGAATAAAACAGGGTCTGACACTTATTTCACTGCACCTTCTCTAAGGCACTCCTTGGTAGAATGTGTCACTTAATATTTTAGATTTTTTTACCTCAGTGCATATGAAAGAAGTCACTGTGTGATTTTTCCAAGATACAAAGAGAATAACTAATAGTAAAAAAAAATTTAAAAAAACCCTTCATTTAATATTTTAGATGTAGTTCTTCTGCATCTTTGCAGGTCTGTTTCTTGGAAGAGTATTTCCTGGGAAGTGTTAGTTATCCACTCTCTGGGTTCACTGTAGTGGAAAGCTAAAGCTATAGTTTATCAGTTCTTACATTTCTCTGCAATTATTTGAAGCCTAATCCTGCAAGTGTGCACATGCCAAAGTTAAATTGGTCTTACAGGATTTTTTATAGGATCAGGCTCTTCATCTTTTACTATTGCTAGATTACTTTTCTCATCTTCATCTTGAGTGGTTCTTATTCACTGATTCTTTATTTCTTGGACAGCAGAACAATAGCAGCTAAATATTAGGAAAACCTTCTCTTAGAATAACTCTTTATACCTCTGCATTTTCTGTTTGGTTTGAAAGAGATTATATTTCACATTTATTAATCAAGAAACTTTAAAGCCTCTTATGAAGTAGTTGCTTGCTTTGAAGTAGATGAGTTCTTTGCTATTATAAGGGCATGTCACAGTGACTGATAAGAATTTGGTATGAAAGAACATCTTTACTGTAGAGCAGCCCCCAGTGTTGTTGCAGTCAGCACGAGTGCTGCAGTTGTTGGAGGTCATTGTGTCCAAGACATTCAAGAACGTTATGCTGAAAAGCCTTGGCACTTCCGTGGGCAGCCCTCATTCAGTGGGTGTTTGAAAAGTCCATAGCACAGCCTGTCCCTGGTCTCCACTGAGTGGTTAGCCATTACTGCAATATAAATAACATTCATCATCCTTCAGGCTGGCAGGTAATAGCTGTACTGGGCCAGAGACAGTGAGGCTCTCTCAGAAAGGAAGACTCAATCAAAACTCTGCACTCCTGTTATGAGTGCTGACCTCAATAAGTTAATTCTGAGCCTGACAGACTCGGACGGGTAAGGGCAGCCTGGCCTCTCAGTGGAACCCTGAGCATCCCTGGCATGCTGAGGTGGGTTTTGTGGTGCACACCCCTGTTCCTCCCCAAATTCTGTGTTTCCCTTGGTGCCTGCAGCCTCCTGTAACAGAGGCAGCTGCCGCAGCAATGCACACCCAGGGCTGTGCACACAGGGCAAAGAGTGCCCAGCCTCTCCCCAGCCTTGCTCTCGTGCCCTCCTGGTTTCACTGCCTGTCTGCAGTGCCCAGCCTAGACTGGAGAGCACTGAAAAAGGGGAAAGTGTGAAAGAGAGAGGTTAACCCAAACCCCTGTGTCTCTGTCCTCCTCTGCCTGCCAGACCTGCATCATGGATCTCTTCTAATGAACCTGAGTGAAACTTCCTGCTGTGAGTTCTTCAGTAATTTATGAAATTTTGTAAAAAGCAAGCAGAAGAATTTGCTTCATGCTATCCTCCTTCCCCTCTGGCATTTAGGCAAGCAGTGAGAGACTCACTTAGGAGAATATACTTTGACTTAGTGATCTCATTCAGCGTGTTATGCTAAATCATTTCAGCACGAATACCTATTAGTAATCATTTCCAGTTCCAGGAAGGATGAAGGAGGTATTTTGGCATATGAGTCAAGAACCTGCTGGGCTGTTTCTTCAGGCTGGCAAAACAGGGGAACTGTGGTGAATTCAGAAGTTTAGTCAAACAAGCCTGAAGTTTAATTCTTCCTGAATGGCTTTGACTGTGACATGCCATCACTCCGAGCTGCAGACAGCATCCTGCCTGCTGCTGGGCACTGAGCCTGGCACAGCGCTGGAAACCTGCACAGCTGCACTGAGCTGCTCAAAGGTAAGGAATGAAGTAAAAAGATAAATAAGCCCTCATCCAGGTCTGTGAGACAAAATGGAAAGATGCCCAACAGCTCCTGTGAGCATCAGATTGAACTATTCATGAAAATTAATGGCATGCAGAGCTAATAGGCTGTTCCTTGGCCTCAGAATGATATTGTACCTTCTGGGAACATATTGTAGCCTGCTG